GCAGCTGCAGTCGTCAACTAAAGCAATATGAAGAACCTGGTAAGTCGTTTTGGCTTTATTTGCTTTATCGAACCCGAATCATGGTCAGAAATTGGCTTTAATGCGTAAATATTCGAGGAAAAGTGGATATGGTTTAAGTGGTACTAAGGTGGATTAATTTCATTTAGAGCTATTATTGATGGAGAGATTATGTCTTATCAAACTTAAAGTTGACGGAATATGGTTTTACTTAGAGAAAGCATGTTTAATCCTATATATTATGTGTAGAGTAAAGTCTCGAAAACCGAATGAACGAATACGAAAAAAACGAAATTTTTTTTTTTTTTTTTTTTTTTTTTTTTTTTTTTTTTTTTTTTACAAATTTACTTATTTGTACAAGAGATTTTGATGTTATAAAATCTAAATGAAAAATTAAAATTCGCCGATTAATCTCTGCATTATTCGTATATTGTATTTGTATTTTTTGAAATTTTGAGTTTTTATGGACTGTTGTATACATTCAGTATTTATTTTTTACGTTTATATACATATCATTTTAGCAGAACATCTATCTTTGGCATTTTTTACATTTAGAATTTTTTTCCATTCGCTAGGTATTTTGTTTATATGCTTTACATGAAAAGTAAAACAAGAAAAATATAATTAAGTAGAAAAATATCAAATAAAGGACCTTAATCAGATAATGTTGGAAAAAACGAGTGCTTTTAGTAATGCAAATGAAAGATATTTCTTCGCTGAAGGAAGTGTGAATGTAATCGAAATTTTGTGCATAATCTTTCCGTTCTTTCCCAGAAAATGAAGAAATTATTTTAGTTGTTCAGAGTTAATACCAGCTAACGCATCTTAAGACTGAATATCAGCTATGGAAGACATTATATAGTTATTATTATATATTATTATTATTATTAATTACCAATGTCATTATTAGTTTTCGTTATCTTTCAAAACCTAACGAAATAGGTTGTTACTATGAGTATGTTGAACTATTTCTCCTTTCGGCTAAAATCTCTTTTCGAAACTCACCATCCAATTTTATGATAGACAGACCTTAACGAAAATATCCCCAAATTAAACCAAACTTAACCTCAGCTAAGATAACCTAAGCTATGATAACCTAAGATAAACCTATGAAACCTAAGATAACCTAAGATAACCTATGATAACCTACAATAACCTAAAAAAAAACAAAAAAACAAAGATAACCTAAGCTAACCTAACCCGTGTCCCGCAGGTTGTGTTGGCTCTGTCGCAGTGGTCGCAGTGGAGGCCATGCCGCAGGCGGTGGAAGGGAACTCCCTCACGCCCTCCGCCGCAGTGCCGCAGACTCCCGGCATGATCCTGACCGCCGCACAGGGCACCATCCCGACGCAGCTGGTTCAGATCGCCTCGCCGCTGTTCCAGGGCGCCCCAGCGACTGCCGGACCTGGACCCGCCGCCCCTCAGCTCTTCTCCCTCACGCCCATCATGGTGAGTTTCGGGTGGTTGGTTGCGTGGGTTGGTTGAGGGGTTTGGGTTGGGTGTTGTGTGAGGTTTTTTGTGTCTGTTTTTGGTTGTCTTGGAGTTTTCTTGGGGTTTGTTGGGTTTATATTTCTTTTTGTTTTTGTTTTTCACTTGTTTTCTTCTTGTTTTTCTTTCTTGTCTTTTTCTTCTCTCTTTCTCATTCACTTTCTCTTTCTCTCTTCTTTCTTTCTGTTTTTTCTACCGCTTTCATTTCCTTTACACCCAAAACGTAGAAAAAAGCCATTCAAAAGACCCGCCCATTTTTTGTACTTTCCGCCCCAGCGAATCCAAAACAAAGCCCTCCCACTCACCCCCACCTCTCCCCCCCGCGACGCAGATCCACCAGCTGTCCGAGGCGGAGCAGAACGCCCTCGCCCACCGGGAGTTCCTGAAGATTTGGAAGCCCAGGCGATCCGCAACCAGGCCATTCCTATTGCTCCTGTCGACCCCACCCTTGCAGCTGCCCCCGCCCCTGCCCCGCCCCTGCTCCCGCCCCCGCCCCCGCCCCGACGTCTGAGACCTTTTCCCTGACCGTCGAAACTGCTCCTGCTACAGACTCCGCCCCTGCAGCGAGCGCCGAGCCAATCGCCGTCGTTTGAGGGGCACAAGCTCCCCACAAGAGGACTACGTCATTAGCTAACGAAGAACTCTCTTTTAAACCGAAAATAATAATTAAATTATATATTTTTGTCTAAAATGTATAAAATTTTCAAAAAAAATAATATTGATAAGGTCAAAGTAATTTTTCCATCTTCGTGAGACATTGACGGCAGCAAGTGGGCGGTTATTGTAAAAACGTATTGTGCGATAAAGTTATATTCGTTTTATTTAGAAACGCCAAATTTACAGACAGTTACAGTATCACGTAAACATTTTGTTCTTTCTTTTCCTCATCAGCAGCCGTTAAAAATATTCAGATTATAAAAAAAGTTCTGTCCTTTTTTTTAAATTTTGTAATTGAACATTGTAAAATACTGATGAAGAAAACACTTTATTTCTACAGATGTTTCGATAAATGAACTGTCATCTAATTTCTTAGTATTTTCTCTTTTATTTGTTTCCGTGTTGTGTAAGCGTGATAAATAAAAACAAGAAAATATATTACCATATAATTTTTATTTTCATTTCCTTGTCTCTCTTTATACTTTATGCTCTTTTTGATAGTATCATCTCCCTATATATTCTGTTAATGCAAAACTACATTATAAATATATATCTGTATGTGTGTGTGTATGCACCTTTAATTCACACACATACGCACACACAACACACACACACACACACACACACACACACACACACACACAACACCCACACCACACACATCAACAATATATATCTAAAATGTAGCTTTGCATGAACAGAATACACATTGGCAATACCATATTGATGACAGTCACAAAATCTTACATACATTCATATTATTTATGGACATATCAATGTAATTTACAAGGTACATGTATTAGAGAAAAAACCTATCCCACCTATGTCAGACAAAGTACACATACAAATACACAAATACAATAATTAATAAAAGTGAGAAAAAAAATAAAACATTCTTTTCTGGATTTTTTTTCTCTCTTTTGCAAAGGAAGTTAGAAACCACTGAAAAATCTCAAAATTCCGACATTAATTTGAATCTTTCCTCATCTCTCTACATAAGAAATCTACTTATTCTACCTCCTACTTATTCTATTCCTTTAACTACATATCTGTTCTTGATCTGTCCTCGTCTATCCTAAAATCTGCTCAGCATCTATCCTTACTCATTTGATCTAATTTAAATATCTACGTATCATTTATCCTCAACTTTAACTCTACCCAATCGATAATAAATTACATTACGAATCGTCAGTAATTGCTTTCAATTAATTCTAGTAAATAACCAATTAACAAAAATAGAGAATAATTGATTAAAAAACATAAATGAAATTGACATCAATAACAATTTAAATAAACAATAATTAGATATAAAAATAAATAAATAAATAAGAATTTAAAACATAAATGAAATGAAAAGCAATAAACTAATCAAATAAACAATAATGATGAGAGAGAAAACCAAATAATCTAACAAGAATTTAAACCACAAATAAACCATACCACACAAAACACACAGAGATCAATTCAATCCATCCTACCACAACAAACAAAACAAAGATAAGGATAAAACCACCCCGTTATCCCTCCCGCATCATACACTAGAGCAACAGTATTGGCTATCGGGAGCAAGGTATGGATTACACAGGAGATGAGGAGCATCTGGATCTCGTCTTGGTTCGTCTCGTAAGCATGAGTGTGGACGTCTTGGCAGTTCCACCATCATTCCTGAACAAATGAAAGAGATTTTTGAGTTTTGATGTTGGGATGGTTTGATGTTGATTGTAGTTAATTTGCTTTTACTTGTATGTCTATTAGTTAATTTGTTATTATTAATATTAATGATTTTGGTAATTCGTTAATATGAACTCGTTATTCTTATTTCTATTGGATATTTTGGGAAGACACCTGTTACACGTGGCTGTATCGTGCTTTCATTCCTTTTTGTTCAAAGATATTATATTTTGGTACAAAACAAAACCGAATATATATTGAACCAATCTAATGACAGCAAGAAAATAATAACGACCTTAACAACAACAAAAATATATATAACCAAAACCACTAAGACAACAAAAAAAGAAACAATTAAAAGCTCACCAAGAGTACATGTTTTCTTCATGCAAACCCGAGGATCTGAGAAGCAGGCACTCGCGGTGTTGGCCAAGTTGAATGGCACTGTCGAGTCCCACTTGCCACATGCCGGTGCCTCTGTGCCAGGAGAAGGGAAGAGGGAAGAGAGAGGAGAAGAAGAAAGGGAGAAGGGAGAAGAGAGGAGAGAAAGGAGAAGGGAGAAGAGAGAAGGGGAACGGAGGAGAGAGCAGGGGAAGGAGAAGGGAGAAGAGAGAAGAGAGAAGGGAGAAGGGAGAAGGGAGAAAGAGAGAAGGGAGAAAAGAGAAGGAGAAGGGAGGACAGAGAAGGGAGAGAAGAGAGAAGGGAAGAAGAGAACGAGAGAGAGAAAGAGGAGAAGAGAGAAGAGAAAGAGAGAGAGAGA